CCTGGAGTGAAGGGAGGTAGATAAAGCTACTGTGGCCCTCATCCCAGCCTATCACCTCTGTCTTAGATGTCTGTCTCCCCAGGAGTCTGAACTTTTATTTTTTAAAAAAATATATTTTTATTGGTTTCCATCAAAACCTCAGCAAGTTATTTTGTGGATATTTGGGTAACACAACTGATATATTAGGAAGAATTTTAGCAGAGGAAATTTCATATTTGCTTATGCTATAGACTCAAGGCAATTTCCATCAAAACCTCAGCAAGTTATTTTGTGGATATTGACAAATTAATTCTCAAGTTTATATGAAAAGGCAAAAGGTCCAAAATAGCCAACATTATGCTTAAGAAAAACAGAGGACTGATACTATCCAATTCTAAGACTTACTATAAAACCATGGTAATCAAGAAAGTGTGGTATACAAGGGAAACAAAAGGAAAAATGGAGAGGGAACTACACCAACTAAAGCTTTTGCACAGCAAAGAAAACCATCAAGAAAAGACAACCCACTGAATGGGAGAAGATATTTTCCAATGATACACCTGAAAAGGGGTTAATATCCAAAATTTACAAAGAACTCAAATCAACCCCCAAAATCCCCCAAACAATCCAATTAAAAAATGGGCAGGGGACCTGAATAGACACTTCTCCAAAGAGAACATACAGATGGCCAATAGACATATGAAGAGATGCTCAATGTCTCTAATTATCAGAGATGCAAATTAAAACCACAATAAGAGCCCCAGCCCGTGGCTCTGTTGGTTGGAGCATCGTCCCATATACCAAAAAGGTTATGGGTTCAATTCCAGGTCATGGCACATATCTGGGTTGTGAGTTCGATCCCCAGTTGGGAGGCAACAGATCGATATCTCTCACATGAATGCTTCTTTCCCTCCCTCCCTCTTTCTTACTCTCCCCCTTCCTCAATAAACATATCCTTGGGTGAGGATTAAAAATAAACACAAAAAAAAACTACAGTGAGCTATCACCTCACACCTGTCAGAATGGCTATCATCAATAAATCAACAAATAACAAATGTTGGCGAGGATGTGGTGAAAAGGGGACCCTTGTTCACTGCGGGTGAGAATGTAGACTGGTGTAGCCACTATAGAAAACAGTATGGAGTTTCCTCAAAACATTAAAAATGGAGCTGCTCTATGACCCAGTGATCCCACTTTTGGGTATTTATACAAAGAAACCCAAAACAATAATTTGAAAGAATATATGCACCCCTATGTGCATTGCAATGTTATTTACAATAACAAGATATGGAAGCAACCCAGGTGCTCATCAATAGACAAGTGGATAAAAAAGTGATGCTATATTTACAATATGGAATATTACTTGGTAATAAAATCTTGTCATTTGCAACAACATGGATGGAACTAGAGGGTATTACGCTAAGTGAAATAAGTCACACAGAGAAAGAAATACCATATGATTTTACTTATACTAGAGGCTTGGTGCACAGATTCATGCACTGGTGGGGTCTCTCAGCCTGGCCTGTGCCCTCTTGCAATCTGGGACCCCTTGGGGGGTGTCAGACTGCTGGTTTTGACCTGATCCCTGCAGGCTGCGGCTGCACTCACCAGCTGTGAGCCTGGTGTCTGGCAGAGCAGTGCTCCTTCTCTGGTAGCACACTGACCATGAGGGGGCAGCTCCTGCATTGAGCGTCTGCCCTCTGGTGGTCAGTATGCATCATAGTGACCAGTCAACTGGTCATTCATTCAGTCACTTAGGCTTTTATATACATAGATGTGGGATCTAAAAAAGTGAAAAAGCAAACAAACAAAACTAAAGCAGACTCACAGATACAGAGAACAGAGTAATGGTTGCCACAGGGGAGTAGGGCTGGGGGACTAGGTGAAAAGGGTGAAGGGATTAAGAAGTACAAATAGTCACAAAATATCATGTCAAGTACAGCACAAGGAACAATGATATTGTGTTGACTGTATATATATGGTACCAGGTGGGTGCTTGGGGTAACAGCGGGAGCACTTTGTAGGGTATATGACTGTCTACTAAGCTGTACTCCTGCAGCTGGTACAAAACAGTATTGAATGTAGATGGTAATTTTAAAAAAATCCCAGCAGTCTTTACTCTGTACATGCAAATCTATTCTTTTTTTAATGTATTTCTCCCCTGTAGCTTATTCCCCCCTGTAGCTAACTTCTTATCTCATGTACCTATTTAAAATATAAATGTTCTTCAAAGTCTGCTTTTGCTTTATTCCTCAAATATTGCTATGTAATGTTTTCATATCATTCAGTTCTAGGTATTTTAAATTTGCATTAATTATTGAGCAGTGTAGTTTTATATTTTCAAAATACACAGGGAATTTTAACAATTTATCTATTTACATTAACTTATAATTTCATTGTGTGGTAGTCAAAGATAATTCCTAACAATATTTTTTAAATTTTTCATGTGTTCTCTATGACTTGTTCATATCAATTTTTATAAAATGTTCCATGTATAGTTGAGAAAAATGTGTATTTTTAAATTGTTAGATATAAAAATCTATGTATTTTAAAAAAAGGGCCAAAACCGGTTTGGTTCAGTGGATGGAGCATTGGCCTGCGGACTGAAAGGTCCCAGGTTCGATTCCGGTCAAGGGCATGTACCTGGGTTGCGGGCACATCTCCGGTGGGGGATGTGCAGGAGGCAGCTGATCGATGTTTCTCTGTCATCGATGTTTCTAACTCTCTATCTCTCTCCCTTCCTCTCTGTAAAAAATCAATAAAATATATTGTTTTAAAAAAAGGAATGTGGTATTGGCGAAAGATTAGGCAAACAGATCAATGGAACAGAAGAACCCAGAAGTAGACCCACAACAATAGTTAACT